ATGACGAGCGGAAAGACAATTACCAATACCTGGATTACAGAAGCTCGGGCCCCAAGCAAGCAAGACTTCCCAGACTCCAAAGCCCCGCCCTGGCAGTAGAGCTCAACACTCAACAGGAGACCAGAAATTGTGGATAAGAGACCGAGAAAACCGATATAATTCCATAGCATCCACTGACAGAGATATTCACAAGCAAAAAGCACTAATAGACGAATGTGACGGTGCACAATGCAAATACTGGGAACAATGATAGGAGTGCTTTGAACGAGGACGGGTGACAAGTCTGATGAAAGACTTTACAAAGACGGTCAGGTCAGGGAAGTTGTTTAGTGCTGCTTCTACACACTTCGGTTCAACGTCTGAAACGACCGCGCACTCCACTTTGACCACCAAAACGGGCACCGTTGAGGTCAGTGACACTGCGCCTTACGGGTACATCCACATATATGGAATTGTTATTGCGACTGTAGCGATTGTAATTATTGAAACCGCCGGCATTGGCCGTAAGACGCTCTGCCTGAGCACGGATCAAGGCACGGGCCTGTTGAATGTACTGCTGGTACCGTATCGAGGTCAGCGCATTCATGTTTGCCTGCGTCCTTATCACTTGTCCAGCGCCGCGGCGACGAATGCCAAAACCTAGAGGACGAAGAGAATGGTGAGCAGCAGGACGACAACACTTAACCGTTAACAACGCGGATACGCACGCTGATTGTCAACCCTGGTGACGCGACGCTGCCTGCCGACGGCGTTAAGGGACGGATTCTGACGAATGGAACGCTGAAAATTTGTACCCAGTGTGCTATTATTGCTGATGCCGTTGCGAGGAAAACGTTGAAAATTATCTGATCTCCCCAGCCTCTGCTGCCTCCGCACTTGACGTTGAGACGGGACGCCCAGACGACTCACTACCCCAAGAACTCCGCGACTGCGACGTTGACGCTGGAAGATTTGTCGATTCACCGCCATGATTCTTTGTCGGACTGCCAAATTCCGATTTATTGAACGGTTATTCCTTGTTGCAGCTGGACCAGCGGCTGTAAACACACACGAGGTTACGAGAAAATTGCAAGTGCTCAGAACGAACAGCCAGTATCAGCAGACATGTATGTCTCGGGGCGCAGGAGAGGCGGATAACTAGGTCTAGCCAGACTTTTGCGAATTGAAAAGACCACCGAGGGCAGAAATTCGCCGCTGTGAGGCCCAAAGCCACTCCAAATAGAACAAATTTATGAACTTGCAGAAATGGGTAGAAGTGAACTCAATGGAGTTTGACAAAGCAGCTCAACCATCCAAACAACGCCTGGTCGCGAGATTTGCAGTGCTATCATTTCCCCCAACCGTTTAAGCACTTTTAATGCGAGGGGGAGCGAGCTAAAATTTGTATGACTTCAGCAGGAGTTAAAACACTCCCACATCCATCCACAACTTGAAGGCTTTGAACCCTCCTGAAATCGCCGATACTTATGCGATTTTCAAGTGGCTGCGGCGGACCAGAGCGTCTCACTTGAAAGTAACGTATCAGTCCAGTCCCGCCTTTCTTCATTGCGACCATAAGTCATACATTGGCAATGCTTGAATTTTTGTCGTGCGGATAAGTAGAAGGACGCCATAACGATGGCAACAGGAACTCGCTGGGACAACTTTCCGCACCCACGATCAAGCACAGCTCCAAGATATTGGAAGTGAGGTAAATTTACGGACACCTGGACGTAAGACAAATGGAGCAACATAAGGTATTTCAATCAGCCACACAAGCTTTTTCATTAACCGCTCCTTTCCTACGTCTGCCGACGGAACGTGCTCCTTAGAACCCAGCTAATGTGATTTGGCTGCCAAACTGAGCAACAACGCCGGTCCTTTGGTCTTGCAAACGAAAAGACGCCACAGAGAAAGCAGCAGACATGTTCGCGCGTACTGACCAAAACCGCGTGCCAGAAATTCACGATTTAACTACAACAAGCCAACAATCAACCCCAGCGAACCTCCTGCTCCTTCGAATACATTCTGTCTGCGAAAAGCACAAAAACACGCACAGGAAGATTAGAGCAGAAGTGGTAATACGGCGTACACAGAAAAATGAAAATCCGACCCTACCAGATGCATTACCGCTTAACAAGCTACTTACCACCGATGCGACGAGCAGTTTGGGGAACAACATTGGCCGGTGAGACAAGGGCAGCCGCGTCTGCTGCAACTTTGGCCGCAATAGCGGCAGTTCTTCGAGCACGTTGGAAAATAGCACGAGCTGCAGTAACCTGACGCGACTTCATAGGTTTCACGAGTGAGGAACGAAGCAAGCCCGCTCTCTTCACGGCTAACGGACGAGACTTAACAGGCGACTTTGATCCA